AGGTCCATCTCTTCTACTGTGTTGTTCAGTGCCTCTGTGTCCTCACTTATTTTCTGTCTGGTTGATATGTCCTTCAGAGTGAGTGGAGTTTTGATGTCTCTTAGAATGTATGCATTGCTTTCTATTTCCCCTTTAAATTCTGTTAGTATTTCTTTCACATATATATGTGTTCCTGTGTTGGGCCCATAGATATTTATAACAGTTATATCTTCTTGTTGGATTGACCTTTTTATCATTATGCAGTGTCCTTCTTTGTCTCTTGTGACTTTATTTGTTTTGAAGTCCATTTTGTATGATACAAGTACTGCAACTCCTGCTTTTTTCTCCCCATTAGTTGCATGAAATATCTTTTTCCATTCCTTCACTTTCAGTCTGTGTATGTCTTTGGGTTTAAAGTGTATCTCTTGAATGCAGCATATAGATGTGTCTTGTTTTTTTATCCATTCAGTGACTCTGCGTCGTTTGAGTGGAGCATTAAGTCCATTTACGTATAGGGTGATTATCGATAGGTATGTGCTTATTGCCATAGCAGGCTTTAGATTCGTGCCTACCAAAGATTCAAGGGTAACTTCCTTACTATTTAAGAGTCTAACTTAACTCACTTAATATGCAGTTACAAACACAATGTAAAATTTCTTTTTTTATCCACCTTTTTCTTCCTCCTCCATTCTTTATATATTAGGTATCATATTCTGTACTCTTTGTCTATGCATTGATTGACTTTAGGGATAGTTAATTTAATTTTGCATTTGCTTAGTAATTAGCTGTTCTGCTTTCTTTTCTGTGTTTTTATTACCTCTGGTGACAGCTATTAAACCTTTGGAATAGTTCCATCTATAGCATTCCCTCCAAAATACACTGTACAGATGGCTTGTGGTAGGTAAATTGTCTCAGCTTTTGCTTATCTGGGAATTGTTTAGTCCCTCCTTCCAATTTAAATGATAATGTTTCCAGATAAACTAATCTTTGTTTGAGGCCCTTCTGATCCATTGCATTAAGTATATTATGCCACTCCCTTCTGGCCCATAAAGTTTCTGCTGAGAAGTCTGATGTTAGGCAGATGGGCTTTCCTTTGTGTGTGGTCTTATTTCTCTCTCTGGCTGCTTTTAGTAGTCAGTCCTTATCCTTGGTCTTTGCCATTTTAATTACTATATGTCTTGGTGTTGTCTTCCTTCGGTCCCTTGTGTTAGGAGATCTGTGGATCTCCATGGCCTGAGAGACTATCTCCTTCCCCAGATTGTGGAAGTTTTCCGCAATTACCTCTTCAAAGACACTTTCTATCCCTTTTTATCTCTTTTCTTCTACTGGTATGCCTATAATGCAAATGTTCCATTTGGATTGGTCACACAATTTTCTCAATATTCTTTCATTCTTAGCAATCGTTTTCTCTCTCTGTGCCTCAGCTTCTTTGTATTCCTCTTCTCTAATTGCTATTTAATTTATCTTCTCCTCCACTGTAAGTAATCTGCTTTTAATACCCTTGTTTTTGTTCTTCAACGATTGGATCTCCAACTGGAATTTATTCCTGAGTTCTTGAATGTTTCCATACCTCCATGACCATGTTAATGATTTTTATTTTGAACTCCCCTTCAGGAAGATTCATGAGGTTGATGTCATCTTTCTCAGGAGTTGTATTAATAATTTTACTCTGAACCAGGTTCCTTTGGCATTTCATATCTGTCTATGGTCCCCTCTAGGGTCCAGAAGCCCTACTTTCTGGAGCTGCTCAGCTCCTGAAGTAATGTTCGGGATTGCAGGGGAGCGGTATTGGTGCCTGGGGGAGGGAAGAGTTGTTTCCTGCTTCCTTGCTGTTATTCCTGTCTCCACTGCCAGAAGCAGTGGCCTGAGCACACAGATATAAGCCTCTGTGCTTTGTGTTTTTAGTTGCTGTAGAGAGGTCTTCCCTCTATCTGGCCTGATGCCAGGGTAGGATTTGCCGGTTTGAGAGCCAGGTGGGGCTGGCCAGGAGTTAGGCACAGTAGGCTGCTTATCACAGAGGGGGTCCTTGGAGCTGTGTAGCCAGCTAGGGAGCTGGAGCACCTGAAAATCGTGAAAGCTCCCAACCTGCTGGGCAGAGTGCATCTGGACAATTTTGTCTAACTGTCCTTTCACCTGTGCAGTAAACTCTGTGCAATCCTTGCCCCTTTAGCCAGCCATCTTGCTGTTAGGACGTCTCTAAGACTGCCCTCCTTTCTTATGTCCCAGAGAAGCCAGATATGGATCCCTGCTTTCCACAATCGGCTGGAATCTCAGTCTCTCCAGGAATTCTGCCTGTCTTAGCTTTCCAATCCCCTAATCACAACAGTATCATGAAAGCACCATCAAATGTAGGTTCGTCCTCCCAGAGCAGATCTTTGTAGTGAAGTATTCAGCAGTCCCAGGCCTCCATTCCCTCCCTGGTCTGTTTCTCTTCCTCCTGCCAGTGAGCTGGGATTGGGGAAGGGCTTGGGTCCCACGGGGCCACAGCTTTGGTATGTTTCCCTGTTCCATGAGGTCTGCTCTTTTCTCCAGGTGTATGCAGTCTGGTGCAGTCCTCTTTCCTGTTGTTCTTTCAGGATTAGTTTTATTAATTATATTTTCATATTATATGTGGTTTTAGGATGAAGCCTCTGTCTTACCCCTCATGCTGCCATCTTTAATCCTCCCCTAGAGTTATTATATTAAATAGGGTGGTGAGGATAGGTCTTATTGAGAAGATAACATTTGTGCAAAAACTTGAAATTGGTGGCAGAGTTAGCCCTGTAGATGTTTAAGTGGGCACTGAAGCAGAAGAATATTCCAGGCAGAAGTAACAGCCTGTACAGAGGCCTTAAGGTAGGTATCAGGAACAGCAAGGGAGCCAACATGGCTAGAGAAAAGTGAATAAAGGGTGAGATTAGTGAGATAAAGCCAAAAGATCATGGAGACTCTGGATTATGTAGATCCTTACAGGCCAGTGGAAAGACTTTGACTTACTCTGAGTGTAGTAGGAACAAGAAGTTTGTTTGAGATGGACCAGTGAAAATTTTTCTGTGCTGACAGGAGTGACCCAGTAAGAGCAAAAAGTTAATGGTGTGAAAGGAAAAGGAGACTTGTTAGAGCAATGTCCTGAAACAGGCAAGAGGTGATGGACACAAGTGTGTAAATTTAGGGATTGACTTTGGGAAGGAACATGGATAGTTCATCAATGATAGCAGTTGAGAATGCAGAGCATGTGGTGTGGTGGTTCCTGGTGTATGAGTAGATGTGGTAGTGGAAATATGCAGAAGTTCTCTTACTGCCCATTCTATTTTCTCAGTGAAGTAGGAAACAAGCTCATCACCTGAGAGTGGGAATGGGGAGGTGGTGTTGGGGAATTGAGAAGAGAGAATAAGGTGTAAACTAATCATCCTGAAAAGCATGAAAGTGAATGACAAGGGTAGTGTGATACACTTGCCCGACAGTATTAAGACCCGTTTGATGAAGTTTTAAAATTACAGAAAGAGTTGGATGGGTTTTTTGTATCTAGCCACTTTCAACAACATGGATGCAGGCACAAAAGTCAGGAGAAAGTTGGATTTAGCCATGCTTGTGGTTTTGCAAGATAAAGACAATGAAACAAAAGAAGGGCAGGAAAACCAAGGAACAAGTTATAATTTTAATCCCTGTGGAATTTAATGTGCGAGAGAAAAAGGAGAAATGCTGTACATTAGATCCCTAGAACTTATTCATCTTATAACTGGAAGCATGTGCCCTTCAATCAACTGTGTACAAAGGAGAACATCAATGGGATGAGGGACAGTGAAAAATTAGTACCATCAGTGGATTAGAGGTCTTAGTTCAATTGAGGGATTGCTGCAGTAATAGAGGAAGTGAGTTAGAAATAGGTGGGAGATGGTGGTCAGAAAGGAGGATACACGAAACAGAGCCAGGTAGAAGACTAGAGTGAAGGAGTGAGACACCTGAGGAAACACTCACTTTTATGGTCATGCAGCTGCAGAGTTGGTCCTTGCGTGACCTCGAGAGTGAGTACCTCCTTAAATTTTGCACGCTAGGACTTTGCTTGCATCACTTGACTCACCTCTTCCCATCTCTGACTGAGGGAGTGTATGGAAGGGATGCAATCATTAGTAATGACAGGGTCCAATGAATAACTGTGCTAGTGAATGGCTAAGGTAATTGGTAGAGTGGAATTCAAGGAAATAAGAGAAAAGGTTATTCAGAGGATCATCTATCTATGTATTGAAGATGCCAAAAATTGAGACAGAAGTAGTCTTTGGAGAAATTAACTGGCAAGCAGTAAGTAAGTCATCAAGAAATGAGAAGAAATGGCTCCACTCTCAGATCACTGCTACAATGAGGGATAGTGAGTGGTATAGTCTGATGATAGGAAATTCAAAGCTGGGAATTTTAGTGAGGAAGAAGGGAGAATAATTTTAAAATACAATGAACAACAAAAGAGAGATGAGAGAAAAGCAGCCACCACTTGAGGGGGCTTCATTGGAAGAAGTACCCTTGGTGAATCCTGGATTTCACTTAGAGAAAGAATTTGGAAGGAACTTTCAGGGAAGAAGTTGCTCATAGAGGAGATTTTTCTGGTAATGGACTGAATATCAGACAGCATAGTGGAAGTGTTGGAGGAGTTGGGGAGAAATGAAAAGACAAAAGAAGGAATTGACAGAAGAATGTGGATTAGGGTGCTGGAAATGAGAGATGACCTGAGTCTGGGGTCTTTTGTTTACTACTAATAAACAGCGATAGAGCATAATAAGATTAGTTCTAATGGATTCAAGGTAGTGCTGACAAGGCTAGGAGTGTTAGTGGATAGGAAGAAGGGCGTTTCTGGGGCCAATATGAATGTGTTCTGTTTTTGCCAATTAGTTGTTTCTTGATTCTGCCACCTTGCAGTAGCTCTTTTGAGAATACAAAATGAGCCAGTTCAGAATTTTTTCTTGTCCTTAATGGACAGGAATACAGATAACATTTTGTGTTCCTAAGTATCCCTTTGAGATATAACAACATATTATATTTATCTCTTTTAGAATGAACAAAAAACTGTGGCAGAAAAAGCTTTGGAATGTTTTGCTCAATACTCAGAAGATGCACAAGCAACTCTTGCAGCTTTAAAGTAAGTATCCACGTTCTGTGGATGTGAAAGGATTTCCTCTGTTCATCTTAATCTTGGTCTGTAAATTTTGCAAAACTAGGGTTGATGGGATGAGGCTGAGTCAATAACAGTTCTGAAATTTTTTCCAGTTTCATTGAAATATAACCAACAAATGGCATCGTGTAAGGTGAAGGTGTATAACCTGATCTTTTTTTTACTGGATTTATATTTTTTATATTGAAGTATCATTGATATACAATATTTTTTTTTACCATTTTTAGATTTTTTTATTCAGGTATTATTGATATACACTACTTATGAAGGTTTCACATGAAAAAACAATGTGGTTACTACATTTACCCTTATTATCAAGTCCCCACCCATACCCCATTGCAGTCACTGTCCATCAGTGTAGTAAGATGCCACAGAGTCACTACTTGTCTTCTCTATGCTACACTGTTTTCCCCATGACCTGTCACACCATGTGTACTAATCATGATACCCATCAATCCCCTTCTCCCTCCCTTCCCACCTGCCCTCCCACACCCCTACCCTTTGGTAACCACTAGCCCTTCTTGGAGACTGTGAGTCTGCTGCTATTTTGTTCCTTCAGTTTTGCTTCGTTGTTATACTCCACAAATGAGGGTAATCATTTGGCACTTGTCTTTTTCTGCCTGGCTTATTTCACTGAGCATAATATCCTCCAGCTCCATCCATTTTGTTGCAAATGGTAGGATTCATTTCTTTCTTATGGCTGAATAGCATTCAGTTGTGTATATGTACCACATATTCTTTCTCCACTCATCTACTGATGGACACTTAGGTTGCTTCCATATGTTGGCTATTGTAAAGTGTTGCGATAAACATAGGGGTGCATGTGTCTTTTTGAGTCTGAGAACTTACATTCTTCGGGTAAATTCCTAGGAGTGGGATTCCCGGGTCAAATGGTATTTCTTTTTTTAGTTTTTTGAGGAACCTCCATATTACTTTCCACAATGATTTAACTAGTTTACATTCCCACCAGCAGTGTAGGAGGGTTCCCCTTTCTCCGCATCCTCACCAGCATTTGTTATTCTTCATCTTTTCGATGCTGGCCATCCTAACTGGTGTGAGGTGATACCTCATTCTGGTTTTAATTTGCATTTCTGTGATGATTAGTGATGTGGAGCATCTTTTCATGTGTCTGTTGGCCATCTGAATTTCTTCTTTGGACAATGTTCTCTTTAAATTCTCTGCCCATTTTTTAGTCGGTTTATTTGCTTTGTGGGTGTTGAGTTGTGTGAGTTCTTTATATATTTTGGATGTTAACCCCTTGTAGGATATGTCATTTACAAATATATTCTCCCATACTATAGGATGCCTTTTTGTTCTGTTGATGGTGTCCTTTGCCGTACAGAAGCTTTTTAGTTTTATGTAGTCCCACGTGTTCATTCTTGCTTTTGTTTCTCTTGCTCAAGGAGTCCGTTTGGAAGAAGTTGCTCATCTTTATATTCAGGAGATGGAGATTTTTGGCTATGTTGTCTTCTAAGAGTTTTATGGTTTCATGACTTACATTCAGGTCTTCAATACATTTTGAGTTTACTTTTTGTGTATGGAGTTAGACAATAATCCAGTTTCATTCTCTTACATGCAGCTGTCCAGTTTTGCCAACACCTGTTGTTGAAGAGGCTGTCATTTCCCCATTGTGTGTCCGTAGCTCCTTTGTCGTATATTAATTGACCATATATGGTTGGATTTATATCTAGGCTCTCTAGTCTGTTCCATTGATCTACTGTTCTGTTCTTGTACCAGTACCAAATTGTCTTGATTACTGTGGCTTTGTAGTAGAGCTTGAAGTCAGGGAGCATAATCCCCCCAGCTTTATTCTTCCTTCTCAGGATTGGTTTGGCTGTTCGGGGTCTTTTCTGGTTCCATATGAATTTTAGAATGATTTGCTCTAGTTCATTGAAGAATGTGGCTGGTATTTTGATAAGAATTGCATTGAATCTGTAGATTGCTTTGGGCAGAATGGCCATTTTGACAATGTGAATTCTTCTTATCCATGAGCATGGGATGTTTTTCCATTTATTGGTATCTTCTTTAATTTCTCTCATGAGTGTCTTGTAGTTTTCAGAGTGTAGATCTCCCACTTCCTAGGTTAGGTTTATTCCTAGGTATTTCATTATTTTTGATGCAATTTGAATGGAATTGTTTTTATGATTTCTCCATCTGCTAGTTCATCATTAGTCTATAGGAATGCCACAGATTTCTGTGTATTAATTTTGTATCCTACAACTAATTCAGATATTAGACCTAGTAGTTTTGGAATGGATTCTTTAGGATTTTGTATGTACAATATCTTGTCATCTGCAAACAGTGACAGTTTAAATTCTTCCTTACCAGTCCGGATGCCCTTTATTTCTTTATGTTGTCTTATTGCTGCAGTGAGGACCTCCAGAATGATGTTGAATCATAGTGAATAGAGTGGGCATCCTTGTCCTGTTCTCAGTCTTATAGGAAAGGCTTTCAGCTTCTCGCTGGTTAATATGATGTTGGCTGTCAGTTTGTCATATCTGGCCTTTACTATGTGGAGGTACTTGCCCTCTATACCCATTTTCTTGAGAGTTTATATCATGAATGGATATTGAATTTTGTCAGATGCTTTTTCAGCATCTATGGAGATGATCATATGGTTTTTGTCCTTTTTGTTGATGTGGTGGATGATGGTGGATTTTCAAATATTGTACCATTCTTGTATCCCTGGAATAAATCCTACTTGATCTTGGTGGATGATTTTTTTGATATATTTTTGATTTCGGTTTGATGATATTTTGTTGAGTATTTTTGTATCTATGTTCATCAAGGGATTTTGGTCTGTAATTTTCTCTTATTGTGGTGTCTTTGCCTGGTTTTCATATTAGAGTGATGCATGTCTCATAGAATGAGTTTGGAAGTATTCCCTCTTCTTCTACTCTTTGAAAAAGTTTAAGGAGGATGGGTATTAGGTCTTCACTAAATGTTTGATAAAATTCAGCCGTGAAGCCATCTCGTTCAGGGGTTTTGTTCCTAGGTAGGTTTTTGATTACCAGTTCAATTTCGTTGCTGGTAATTGGTCTGTTCAGATTTTGTTTCTTTCTGGGTCATCCTTGGAAGGCTTTACTTTTCTAGAAAGTTTTCCATTTCTTCTAGATTATCCAGTTTGTTAGCATGTAATTTTTCATAGTATTCTCGAATAATTTTTTGCATTTCTGTGGTGTCCAGAGTGACTTTTCCTTTCTCATTACTGATTCTGTTTATGTGTGTAGACTCTCTTTTTTTCTTGATAAATCTGGCTAAGGGTTTATGTATTTTGTTTATTTTCTCAAAGAACCAGCTCCTGTTTTCATTGATTCTTACTGTTGTTTTATTCTTCTCAATTTTATTTATTTCTGCTCTAATCTTTATTATGTCCTCCCTTCTACTGACTTTGGGCCTCATTTGTTCTTCTTTTTCTAGTTTCATTTATTGTGAGTTTAGACTGTTTATATGGGAGTATTTTTCTATCCTAAGGTAGGCCTCTATTGCAATATACATTCCCTTAGCACGGTCTTCACTGCATCCCACAGATTTTGCCGTGTTGAATCATTGTTGTCATTTATCTCTATATATTGCTTCATTGCTCTTTTTATGTGGTCATTGATCCATTGGTTACTTATGAGCATGTTGTTAAGCCTCTACTTGTTTGTGGGATTTTTCAGTTTCTTTGCATAATTTATTTCTAGTTTCCTACCTTTGTGGTCTGAGAAACTGGTTGGTACAATTACAGTCTTTTTTAATTTACTGAGTCTCTTTGTGACCTAGTATATGATCTAGTCTTGAAAATGCTCCATGTCCACCTGAGAAGAATGTGTATTTTGCTGCTTTTGGGTGTAGAGTTCTGTAGATGTCTGTTAGGTCCATCTGTTCTATTGTGTTGTTCAGTGCCTCTGTCTCCTTACTTATTTTGTGTCTGGTTTATCTGTCCTTCAGAGTGAGTGGTTTATTGAAGTATCCTAGAATGTATGCATTGCATTCTATTCCCCCTTTTAATTCTGTTAGTGTTTGCTTCACATATGTAGGTGCTCCTGTGTTGGGTGCATAGATATTTATAATGGTTATATTTTCTTGTTGGATTGACCCCTTTATCATTACATAATGTTCTTCTTTGTCTCTTTGTCTCTTGTAACTTTCTTTGTTTCTAAGTCTATTTTATCTGATATGAGTACTGCAACTTCTGCTTTTTTTCTCCCTATTAGTTGCAGGAAATATCTTTTCCCATCCCTGCACTTTTAGTCTATGTATGTCTTTGGATTTAAAGTGAGTCTCTTGTTGCCAGCATATAGATTGGTCTTGTTTTTTTTTTTTTTGGAAAGGTTTTTCTTTCTTTATTAAGGTATCATTGATATATACTTTTATGAAGGTTTCACATGATCAACATTGTGGTTACAACTTTCACCCATATTATCAAGTCCCGCTGATACCCCATTGCAATCACTGTGAAGTAAGATGCCACAGAGTCACTACTTGTCTTCACTGTGCTATACTGTCTTCCCTGTGACCCCTGCCACACCATGTGTACTAATCATAATGCCCTTTAATCCCCTTCTCCCTCCCTCTCCACCTACCCTTCCTCAACCCTCCCCTTTGGTAACTGCTAGTCCCTTCTTGAAGTGTCTGAGTCTCTTGCTGTTTTGTTCCTTCAGTTTTCTCTTTGTTCTTATGTGCCATAGATGAGTGAAATCATTTGAAACTTGTCTTTCTCCACCTGGCTTATTTCACTGAGCATAATACCCTCTAGCTCCATCCATGTTGTTACAAAGGATAGGATTTGTTTTCTTCTTATGGCTGAATAATATTCCATTGTGTGTATGTATCACATCTTCTTTATCCATTCATCTACTGATGGACACTTAGGTTGCTTCCATTTCTTGGCTATTGTAAATAGTGCTGCAATAAACATAGGGGTGCATCTGTCTTTTTCAAACTGGGCTCCTGCATTCTTAGGGTAAATTCCTAGAAGTAGAATTCCTGGGTCAAATGGTATTTCTATTTTAAGCATCTTGAGGAACCTCCATACTGCTTTCCACAATGGTTGAACTAATTTACATTCCCACCAACAGTATAGGAGGTGTCCCATTTCTCCATAACCTCGCCAACATTTGTTGTTGTTTATCTTTTGGATGGTGGAGATCCTTACTGGTGTGAGGTGATATCTCATTGTGGTTTTAATTTGCATTTCTCTGATGATTAGCAATGTGGAGCATCTTTTCATGTGTCTGTTGGCCATCTGAATTTCTTCTTTATAAAACTGTCTATTCAGCTCCTCTGCCCATTTTTTAATCGGATTATTTGCTTTTTGTTTGTTGAGGTGTGTGAGCTCTTTATATATTTTGGGTGTCAACCCTTTATCGGATCTGTCATTTATGAATATATTCTCCCATACTGTAGGATACCTTTTTGTTCTATTAATGGTGTCCTTTGCAGTACAGAAGCTTTTCAGCTTGATATAGTTCCACTTCTTCATTTTTGCTTTTGTTTTCCTTGCCCGAGGAGATATGTTCGTGAAGAAGTCACTCATGATTATGTCTAAGAGACTTTTGCCTATGTTTTTTTCTAAGAGTTTTATGTTTTCATGACTTACATTCAGGTCTTTGATCCATTTCGAATTTACTTTTGTGTGTGGGATTACACAGTGATCCAGTTTCATTCTGTTACATGTAGCTTTCCAGTTTTGAAATTGGTTTTGTTTTTTTATCCATTCAGTGACTCTGTGTCTTTTGATTGGTACATTCAGTCCATTTACATATAGGGTGATTATCGATAGGTATGTACTTATTGCCATTGCAGGCTTTAGATTCACGGTTACCAAAGGCTCAAGGGTAACTTCCTTACTATATAAGAGTCTAACTTAACTCACTTAGTATGCTGTTACTAACACAATCTAAAGGTTCTTTTTTTCTCCTCCTTTTTCTTCTTCCTACTGTCTTTATATATTAGGTATCATATTCTGTACTATTTGTCTATCCCTCAATTGACTTTGAGGGTAGTTGATTTAATTTTGCATTTGTTTGGTAATTATCTGTTCTACTTTCTTTACTGTGGTTTTATTTCCTCTGGTGACAGCTATTAAACCTTTGGAACAGTTCCATCTATAGCAGTCCCTCCAAAATGCACTGTACCAATGGTTTGTGGGAGGCAGATTGTCTCAGCTTTTGCTTATCTAGAAATTGTTTAGTCCCTTTTTCAAATTTGAATGATAATCTTGCTGGATAAAGTAATCTTGGTTCGAGGCCTTTCTGCTTCATTGCATTAAATACATAATGTCACTCCCTTCTGGCCTCTAAGATTTCTGCTGAGAAGTGTGATGGTAGCCTAATGGGCTTTCCTTTGTATGTGATCTTATTTCTCTCTCTGGCTGCTGTTAGTAGTCTGTCCTTATCTTTGAACTTTGCCATTTTAATTACTGTATTTTTTGGTGTTGTCTTCCTTGGTGCCTTGTGTTGGGAGATCTTTGTACCTCCATGGCCTGATAGACTATCTCCTTCCCCAGATTGGGGAAGTTTTCAGAAATTACCTCCTCAAAGACATTTTCTATCCTTTTTTCCTCTCTTTCTCTGGTACCCCTATAATACAAATATTGTTCCACTTAGATTGGTCTCACAATTCTCTCAATATTCTTTCATTCTTAGAGGTAATTTTTTCTCTGTGTGCCTCAGCTTCTTTGTATTCCTCTTCTCTATTTTCTATTTCATTTATTGTCTCCTCCACTGTGTCTAATCTGCTTTTAAGACCTTTCATTGTATGTTTCATTTCTGATACTGTGTTCCATAATTAGTGGATCTCTGACCTGAATTCATTCCTGAGTTCTTGAATATTTGCCTGTACCTCCTTGAGCATGTTTATGATTTTTATTTTGAAATTTCTTTCAGGAAGATTCATGAGGTTGATTTCATTTGACTTTTTCTCTGGTGTATTTATAATTTTGCTTTGAACCAGATTCCTTTGATGTTTCATATTTGTATCTGGCACCCTCTAGTGCCCAAAAGCTCTACTCTTTGGAGCTGCTCAGCCCATGGAGCAATGTTGGGCATCACAGGGGAGCCTTGTTTGGTGCCTGTGGGGAGGAAAGAACTGTTTCCTGCTTTCCGACTGCTATGCCTGTTTCCACTGCCAGAACCGGTGGGCTGAGCACCCAGGTATTAGCCTCTATAGTTTCCATTTGTAGTTGCTGTAGGCAGGGTTTCCCTCTGGCTGGCCTAACGCCATGTCAGGATTTACCAGTTTGCAAGCCAGATGTGGGCTGCCAGGGAGGAAGGTGCAACCAGGTGCATATCATGGAGGGGGGACCTTGGAGCTGCGTAGCCAGCCAGGGGGCTGGAGCACCTGGAGACTGTGAACATTCCCAACCTGCTGGCAGAGTTCACATGGACAATTTTGTGTACCCATCCTTTCTCCTGAGCAGTAAGCTCTGTACAATCCTTGCCCCTTTAGCAGCCCTCTTGCTGTTAGGAAATCTCAGACTGTGCACCTTTCTTTTGTCCAAGAGCAGCTGTATATGGACCCCTTTTTTCCACAAGCAGCTATAATCTCAGTCTGTCCATGTATTCTGCCTGTCTTAGCTTTCCAACCCCCGTAATCACAAAAGCACTGTGTAATGTCGATTCGTGCTTCCAGAGCAGATCTCTAGAGCTAGGTGTTCAGCAGTCCCAGGCCTCCACGCCCTTCCTGCTCTGTTTCTCTTCTTCCCACCTGTGAGCTGGGCTTGGGGAAGGGCTTGGGGCCCTCTGGACCGTGGTTTGGTATGTCACCCTGTTCCATGAGGTTTATTCTTTTCCCTAATTGTATGTAGTCTGGCAGAGCCCTCTTTCCTGTTGCTCTTTCAGGATTAGTTGTATTAATTATATTTTCATATTATTTGTGGTTTTAGGCAGAAACCTCTGTCTCACCTTTCACGCCATCATCTTTCTTCAATCTTAGTATTTCAATATACAATCTTATGTTGGTTTCAAGTATACAACAGAGTTGTAGTTACTTGGAGCTGGTAACTAGTGCAGTTACTATCTATTAATGCAGAAAGATGTTACAGAATCACTGTGATCCCCATGCTGTACTATCATCCCTGTGTGTGATTGTGAATTATTGTTCCACTTGATCCCCTTCACTGTATTCCCCTTACCCCCCTGCACCCCAACCTCTCCCACTTGGTAACCACTAGTCACTTCTCAGTGTCTATGAGTCTACTGCTATTTTGTTCCTTCTGTTTTGTTTTATTTTTATACTCCACAAATAAGTGAAATCGTATAGTATTTGTCTCTACTTGGCTTATTTCACTCAGCAGAGTAATAATACCCTCTAGATCCATCCATGTTGTTGTAAATGGGAGGATTTATTTTCTTTTTATGGCTAAATAATATTCCATTGTATATATGTGCTACCTCTTCTTTATCCATTCATCTATTGATGGTATACTTATGTTGCTTGCTAATCCTGGCTATTACAAATAGTGTAGTAATAAACATAGAGGTGTATATATCTTTTCAAATCAGGGATTTTGTTTTCTTCAGATAAATTCCAAGGAGTGGAATTACTGGGTCAAATGATATTCCTATTTTTAGTTTTATGAGGAACTTCCATATTGCTTTCCACAGTGGCTCCACTAATTTACATTTCCACCAACAGTGTAGGAGGGTTCTTATTTTTCCACATCCTCTCCAGCATTTGTCATTTCTTGTCTTTCGGATAGTGGCCATCCTGTGGTCATCCTGGTGTGAGATGATATCTCAGTGTGGCTCTAATTTGCTTATCCCTGATGGTTAGCAGTGTGGAGCATATTTTCATGTACCTGTTCGCCATCTGTATTTCTTCTTTGCCTCCAGCTTTATTCTTTCACAAGATTGTTCTGATTCTTTGGGGTATTTTGTGGTTCCATATGAATTTTAAGATTTTTTGTCTATTTCTGTGAAAAACAGCACTGGAGATTTGATAGGTTTGCTTAATGTAAAAATAGCCATCAGTTGAGCCTGATTGTCCCCTTTTTCTTTTTCTATGATGGAAATGATTCATCAAAAGGAAAGTTTTACATATAATAGTGAGGCAGAGCAGAATGAGTTTAATACCTGATAACTCCTGGTGATGCAACTGAGAACATGCCAGTGGCAGTGATTAGAAACCAGAAGGCTCTCCTGTTTGTCAGCTGCACTTGAGGCCACACTTCTGAAGGGAAATGGAGTCACAGACATGAAAGTATCAGAAGGAATTTTGAGATACTTACATGCCTTTAGTTAGAAAAGTACCTAAAATTATTCAGTATAGATAGTATTTTCTAAAGTTTTTTAGGGTTTAGTTATAAGCTACACTATTTTGTTGATTTATCATTATGTTTTCATATCCCTTCAAAGAACCGTTATCCTAGTTTATGTGGAACCCAAGGCCAGTTCCAGGTTCTATTATAGAAATAAAAACATAAAGATTTGTACACTGTGCCTTATGTTCTATCTATCAGGTGATTTGTGGCAATGACACAAACTTTGGAACTATTTAAGAATTTGTCATAAGCAACACTTTTGTTTTTCCATTATTAAATTATTCTTCCAAAATTGTAATGGTTTCATTGTAACCTTTAAAACAATACAAGGTCTCTAAATAAAATGAAAGTATTCTCTTTCTTACCCTCTTTTTTCTCACTTCTGACTCAGGGGGTAGTCAAAGTTAACTCGATATATATTTCTTTCACATGTTTTTTCCTAAGTGTCATTTTTTCTGTTATTTTATCATATAGGTGTTTCTTTCGTCTTGCTGTTGCAAAAGTTTCTCAAATGCCAGAATCTGAAAACAAGTAAGTTATTTCAGCAGAAATTATGTATCCACCATTAGAAAAGTTATAACTTTCAGTGTAAACTTTGTGTTGAAAGGTGTATAATATAGTAGGTAAGATCATTTATAGGCTCTGGGGCCAATCTTCCTGGGTTCATATCCTGGTTCTGCCACTAATCAGATGAATTTCAGTTCCCCATCTGGATTGATGGTGAATTAATGATTATTAAAGATGTTGATGGTACATGGAGATTCATTCATTTGTTCACATAGAAACATTGTTGAAATTTGCCACAGTAAAAAGTTAAAAAATAAAAAGGAAACTCAAAGATTAAACCTTGTTAACTACTTGATTATAAGAGCTCCCTGAGGGCTAGGACTGTTTGTATTTATCTTTGTCTCTCTGGAAGCCAGGACAGTATCTGACATATAATGGCCACTTAATTTATTTCAGTGACTGAATATCAGTTCTTTACAAGAACTTTAGTGCTGGATTTACAAAGTGCTTCATATTCCATGTAATTGTGGCATACACTCAAACCCCACTCATTTAAACCAGTTTGGAGATTGAGAAAAAGAAAGAGATCTTGTTTAAATTAATGATAAACTTAAATTATAGACTATTTTAAAAATATACCTTTATTATAAAGTTTTCAAGTAAAATAAAGAACATCTGCTAGCAGTGTTTTCAGGCAGGGATCAGGTCCTGATTTAACAAATAGAGTAGACTAACTTGTAAAAAAAAGGCCTAATTCAATGGAGGAGACAAGGACTGAGTTCTAATTTCAGCTGTTTCATTAATTTCTGGTTTACCTTAGGCAATAACAGCTTATTTAACTTCTCTAAGCTTTATTTTCATCTGTTAAATAAAAAAAGCTGGACTGGATAATTTCTAAAATTTCCTTTCCTAAAAAATCCCATTGTTTTCTTTTTTTTTATTAAGGTATTGATATACACTCTCATGAAGGTTTCACATGAAAAACAATGTGGTAGTGCATTCAACCATATTATTGAGTTCCCCCTGATACCGCATTGCAGTCACTGTCCATCAGTGTAGTAAGATGCCACAGAGTCACTATTTGCCTTCTCTGTGCTACACTGTCTTCCCCATAAAATCCCATGGTTTTCAATTAGTAGTATCCACCTAAGTATTAACAACTGTGTGCTAAAATTTTTTAAAGCAGCTAGTTTCTTAAATAGACTGTACATCCATTTCCATGTCCTCTGTTTCCATTTATACTGTTTATTTGCATTGATGGACCCTTCTTAGATTACTTTATGTAGTCACTGAATTAGATAGTAAAGAAGTCAACTTTAGCTCAGCTGAAATTCAAGTTAATAAAATTTACTGTAAAAAGTTATTTTATGTAAACCAGACTTCTAATATTTATCCCTGAGAAAGCTGCTACTTTTTCTGAAGCCATCTTTATTATATAATACTGGATACCCTCCTGATAAAGGCCAGTCTTATAGTATGCTCTACCCTACTTCCTGTAAACTTTCTTAGTTGAGTTTGCCAGTACTTCCATATACATTCCCTTTTTTAAGCAGAATGGGATGCACTTCTCTGTTAAAATTATGTACCCCTTAAAGGAGCTTGACAAAGGGTCAAGAAACCTGGGTAGTAGTCTTGACATTGTCATTAATTGCATGACCTTGGACAAATCATCCCCCATTTCCAGATCTGTTTCTTCATCTGTAAAATGAAGGGTCTGGATTGAATACATGGTTTTTAAACTATATACCTCAGAACCTTGGAAATTCTGTGGCACTGTCTCAGGGACTTGCAGGAAGGTGAAGCTCTAGGCTCCACCCACCACTGGTTCAACGAAAGCAGCTACAGTTTTATCTTTTCTTGCATATTAGAGTTCTGTAAAATTTTATTTGAAACAAGGGTTCCAATCACCCTCTTCAAATAAAAAGCTTGAAAAACACAGAAATCACTCTCTGTTCTCAAATTCTATGACCCTATAATGTAAAGCCTTACCAGCCAGTGAAATCTTTTGCTGAAAGTAGGTATAGATGGGGAAGAGTGAAGAACTATAAGGGAAGGGGGGATGAGGAACAGTATCCTATAGTGGGGAAAAACAGTGTTGAAATGATGGGTTGGGGCCTTGGCATGTCTCTCAGGCACAAATAGAGTCTCTTTTTGATACTTTTTTTTATAGTGAAGTTTTGGAACTATAGGACAATACTCTTTTATTATTTTTTTTTAGAAAGAAAGAAATGGGTAGACTTTTGACTTGCTTGAATATAGGTAAGTATCTCCTTGATTATTTTCAGTCTTTCATCTTTTCTCTATCCTCTATTAAATTCTCCAAGAACATTGAGCATATTGACTCAAACTTCATATTTGAGTTAAGCTTCATGTTTTTATTAACATTTGCCTCATTCATCTACCTTGGTTTCTTTATTCATAAGTGGATTTGCTCATTGCTAACATTTTAGCTCATTGCTAAAAGTTTGTCATTGCTAACATTCATCTCCAAATGTGATTTCAGCTCTGTTTTTATTCCAATTTCTCTTTTAAAGACATTTTCTTCCTTTCTTATTGCCTCTTAGTCCTAACCTAGAATAGAACAGGTGAAAAAAGGTGAAGACAAATAAAGATGTTATGAACCCTGCTAATTTTCATGTCCTCTGAATCAAACTCAGATTGTTTACTCTGTTATTTTTGATCTGTCCATCTGTCTACCCAAGCATGTATCATCTCCCCTAGCTACTTATAATTATTCCCTGTCCACTTTATTCAGGCTAACTAACCTGATAGGTACATAGCATTCCTGTTTCCACCTTTATGCTTTCTTACATAGTGTCCCTTTTGCCTATCAGATCTTCCCATTTCTGCTACCCATGTACCAATCTCCTATGTCCAAAACACGTGAAAAAAATCCCTATCTTAGAAACTCTTCCATTTATTGCAGTAGTTCAGTTTTATATCTCAAATACCTGTCAACAAGGTATGAAATGTAGCAAAGTGGTTTAAAAGAGAAAAACTTTTCAGAGGAGAAAAACTTAGCTGGTTGACAGTCTTATCTCTCTGTCTAATGATAAGAATGAGTCTAAGATAAAATCATTGGATATGTAATAAATGCTTTCTGATGATGACACATGTTCTGGTTCTGTACTGCTTCCTGTGGGAGTTCAGTAAATAATATGCTGAACGATCGATACTCTTCCAATTCTCAATCTCCATTTCAGTCTTTTTAATGAAATGACTCTTCCTGTTCTATAATTCCTTACACTTAAATCATCTTTCTACCTCAGCTGGAGAATGATTGCTCTAATTAAAATTATAAACCTCTCCAAAGACATGTTTGTACCCCCAAATTTAAGCTAAGAGCTTCTTGGAGCTTGGTAGTGCATTTTTGTCATTTTGATTACTTTTGGTATGCACCCATGCACACACACAAAAAAAACTTTCTAAATTCAAACTCAATTTCTTTGCTGGTAATTGGTCTGTTTAGATTTTCTGTTTCTTCCTTGGTCAGTCTTGGAAGGTTGTATTTTTCTAGGAAGTTGTCCATTTCTTCTAGGTTTTCCACCTTGTTAGCATAGTTTTTTGTAGTATTCTCTAATAATTCTTTGTATTTCTGTGGGGTCCGTCATTTGTTCGACTGTATTTAATGCAGATTTAACAACTTTGCTAGAATATAAAGTGACAGACCTCAATATCAAATTTTCCTGTTTGATGTAGCACTCCCGAATCTTACTCAGATTTTTGATGGAGAAGCCTGGGCTTCAGACGCAAAGATTAATGAAGCTCACTGGTTTCGAAAAATAGGTAAAAGAAAATTCTGTTACTCTGGGAAACATTGTGGGGTGGTAGAATCAGACATGTGTGGTTCAAATTCTGGCTCTTTCATGTGTAGCTATGGGTACAGGAATAACTTGCTTAATCTCAGTTTCATTACTTACACAGCAGCAACACATATATTACTTCATAGGGATTTTAAGTGTTTTAAACGAAGCAGTTTATGTACCTGAAATATAGTGCTCAGTAAATACTAGTTTTCTTCCTTTTCTACAGAAATGAGTCTAAGATAAAATGATGAATTATAACTCAGATCCCCAAGGTTATGCTCTGAAAATTGGTCTAGAATGCCCAATTTATCTCCAAATATAATTCATCAAAAATAAAATACATGCAACAAAGAGTAGATGAAATCTCACAAAGTGTTGAGCAAAAGAAACCAGATAATGAGTACATATGGCATTATTCCATTTATATATAGTAAAAAAAATAGGCAAAGCTAATTTATGATGTTAGAACTCAGGATAGTGGTTCTGCTTGAAGTTGGACTGAAGAGTGTTAGTGGGGTTGCTTCTGAGTTTCTGGTAATGACCAAGATCTTTCTTGATCTGGATTGGTTTCATGGATATATTCACTTTGTGAAAATTCATCAAGCTGTACAGTTATGAGTTGTATAATTTACTTCATGTAGGTTTTATTTAAAAATTGTAGACACAATTACTATAGTGATAAGGAAGCAAGAGCAGTTAAGCAGCAATGCCACAAAGTAGACTGGTCCTACATGGACCTTTTTCTTCTTCATAGGGTTTACTGGGGCTCTAATCTAGGAGAAAAGTGATAAAATACAGCATTCTAGCTTTTAAGAAATGTATGCAAATAATGGAAAATAACAAACATGTGAACTATAGGTTTAATGAGTGATCTTTTGAAAGTTTGAAAAGTTATTTCCCAGTATTTCTTGTACAGAATCTTAATTTGATTTTCTAAGGTGGAGATCATGCTGAATGTTGCCTAATGAAGTCTTCCAATGCTTTACGGAAAATGTGAATTTTAGCAGTAGTTTCCTTCAACCCTTTATTCTTGTGTACCCCTGTTCTTTGCTGAATTTTAAATTCCTTTCACCAATTCTAGTTGGTCAGCTGCTTAGTGAGCCTCATTTTTTAGGTGGATGTCTGCCAACTAAAAATTTATTGCATGTCCCCAATCTTTATTAAAAAAATTTAGCACTAACTCCATTGGTCATTGGCCTAGAATTGAAGATTGGAAATGATAGAAGTCTCCAAATTTACCTTGAAAAAATTTCTCTAAAAACCTAAAAGTTACCTTTTCCAAGCCCTGAAAAATCCATTAGTATATCAGTATGAAAGATGTAGGTAGTAGGGATTATAATGGTACAGATTAAATAGTAGATTTTCATATTTACATTATTTCATGTAAACTTTCAGCTTGGAACTTGGCTGTACAATGTGACAGAGACCGAGTGACAATGAGAGAGTTTTTCATACTTTCTTATAAGGTAAGTCTCTACTAATAAGTGTCTTATGTATGGACCACAACAAGAATGTGACCACTATAGCTATAGTCAAACGCTAGGTATAGAGTGGGATTGGTTTTATATCTAGGAACTTTTGATATACAGGCATACCTCAGAGATATTCTGGGCTTAATTCGGGACCACCACAAGAAAGTGAATATCACAGTAAAGGAAGTCAAATGAATTAAAATTTTGTAGTGCATATAAAGTAATGTTTATACTGTAGCCTATTGTGTGCAATAGCATAACGTCTAAAAAATGTACATACCTTAATTTAAAATGCTTTATAGTTTTAAAAAGTGCTAACCATCATCTCAGCTTTCAGCAAGTCCTAATCTTTTTGCTGGTGGAGGGTCTTGCCTCCTTGTTAATGGCAGCTGACTGATCAGGGTGGTGGTTGCTGAAGGTTGAGGTGCCTGAGGTAACTTCTTAAAACAAGACAACAATAAAGTCTGTCACATCAATTGACTCTTCCCTCTATAAATGATTTCTCTGTAGTATACGATGCTGTTTGATAGCATTTTATCTACAGTAGAACTTCTTTCAAAATTGGAGTCAGTCCTCTCAAACCCTGCCACTGCTTCATCAACTGAGTTTATGTAATATTCCATATCCTTTGCTGTTATTTGAACAATCTTCATAGCATCTTTGCCAGGAGTAGATTCCATCTCAAGAAACCACTTTCTTCGCTCTTTCATAAGAAGCAACTCCTCAGCTGTTAAAGTTTTATCAAGAGATTGCAACAGTTCAGTCATGTCTTCAGGTTTTGGCTGTTTCCACCACATGTGCAGTTGCTTCCTGCACTGAAGTCTTGGATCCCTCACAGTCATCCATGATGGTTGGAATCCACTTCTTCCAAACCCCTGTTTGTGTTGATATTGTGTCCTCTTCTCATGAATCACTGTGGATAAAATGAGAGTTCCTGTGGCAAGGATTCTTACCTGGCCCTGGTTGACTAGCTCACTGCACACCAGTGGGCAATACATGGCTGTAGACTCTATAAAAGAGCTCCACCCAGTGCTCTGGATATGATATGGTGGCAGGGCTGCAAGGCTGCAAGAGAGCAGAACAGAGGCTGGACTGGTGGCAGCACCGAGGACAGAGGCCCAGAGGACAGCTGTGCAGGACAACTGTGCAGAGAGGCCCAGAGGATGGCTGTGCAGAACAACTGTGCAGAGAGGCTTGGAGGATGGCTGTGCAGAAAGAGGGGCCCAGAGGCAGAGACCACCTTGCTTCATGCAGACTCACTCTGAGTGAACGGGATTCTAGTGACTGACCTACCACCTGGAAATAAAGTTGGTGTAACCCTTTCACCCCAAGAACATTTTGCTGTCAATATCTTTGGTCACACTGAATCCATAGTGAACTTGCCTGGGGCTGAAACCCATTGGCAAGACAATCACCAATGTTCTTAATGACATCTAGTATGGTGAATCCTTTCCAGCAGGTGTTCAGTTTCCTTTGCCCATATCTCTCAGAAGAATCACTATCTGTGGTAGCTATAGACTTATGAAATATATTTCTTCAATAATAAGACTTGAAAGTAGAAATTACTCCTTGATCCATAGGCTACAGAATGGATTCTGTGTTAGCAGGCATGAAAACAATGTTAATCTCATTGTACATCTCTGTCAGAGTTCTGGGTGACCAGGTGCATTGTCAGTGAGCAGTTATATTTTGAAAGGAATCTTTTTTCTGAATGATACGTCTCAACAGTGGTCTTAAACTATTCAGTAAACCATGTTGTAAACAGATGTGCTGTCATCCAGGTTTGGCTGTTGCATTTATAGAGCACAGGCAGAGTAGATTTAGCATAATCCTTAAGGGCTTTAGGACTTGCAGAATAGTAAATGAGCCTTGACTTCCTCTTAGGGGCTAAATGCAGCTGGTGACTTAACAAGAGAGTCAGCCTGTCCATTGAAGCTTTGTAGCCAGGCATTGACTTCTCCTCTCTAGCTATAAAAGCCCTAGATGACATCTTTTTCCAGTAGAAGGCTATTTCATCTGCATTGAAAATCAGTTGTTCCATGTACCCACCTTTATTAACTATCTTAGCTAGATCTGGATAACTTGCTGCAGCTTCTAAGTCAGCACTTGCTGCTTCACCTGCACTTTGATGTTACAGACATGGCTTCTTTCCTTAAACCTCATGAACCAGCCTCTGCTAGCTTCATACTTTTCTTCTGCAGCCTTCTTAACCTCTCTTAGCCTTCATAGAATTGAAGTGACTTAGGGCCTTGCTCTAACATTAGGCTTTGGCTTAAGGGAATGTTGTGGCTGATTTGATCTTCTATCCAGACCACTAAAACTTTTCTGTATCAGCAGTAAGGCTGTTTTACTTTCTTATCATTCTTGTGTTCTCTGGAGGAACACTTTTTATTTCCTTCAAGCACTTTTATTTCCTTTGTGTTCACAACCTGGCTAACTGCTTAGTGCAAGAGGCTTACTTTTCCATGTCTCAGCTTTTGACATGTTTTTCTCACTAAGCTTAGGCATTTCTAGATTTTCATTTATAGTAAGAAACATGTGCATCTTCCCTTCACTTGAAGCCTTAGAGGCCATTGTAGATTATTAATTTGCCTACTAATTTCACTGTTGTTGTGTCTCAAGGAATAGAGAGATATGAAGTGAGGGAAAGAATTGGGAGAGATGGCCAGTCAGTGGACAGTCAGAACACAGACATTTATCAATGAAGTTTTCTGTTTTTTTTTTTTGGTTGGTTGGTTTTTTTTTAGGATGACAAAAATGCTTTATTTAAAAGTTACTAAAAATACATTTACTTGATATTAGTCTTATAAGGCTCTAAATATTTTTAAAATACAAGATACCTCTACAGCCAAACCTTGGATAAATATAATACCTAAAAAATACATTAAACCTACCATTCTACTCAGTATTGAGTATACAATCTTTTCCATGGGTTCCAGTATATCAGCAATCCCCACAGCAATGCAAAGGGACTGAAACTGACTAGATGTAGCTTTAGTTTAGGAAACAAAACAGGAGAGACCAAGATGAGTTTGATGCCTGACCATAAACACTAAGTCTTCCTTAGGCTCATTTTCATTGCCCACCAATCTCCTCCTAATGAGGCATATCATCTTTACTCCCCAAAACAGACCTTCTCAGCAGCTTCTCTTTAGCATTTTCCAAATTACTTTTTTTTTTGAGAGGGCATCTCTCATATTTATTGATCAAATGGTTGTTAACAACAATAAAATTCTGTATAGGGTAGTCAATGCTCAATGCACAATCATTAATCCATCTCAAGCCTAATTCTCGTCAGTCTCCAATCTTCTGAAGCATAACAAACAAGTTCTTACATGGTGAACAAATTCTTACATAGTGAATAAGTTATTACATGGTGAACAGTACAAGGGCAGTCATCACAGAAACTTGCAGTTTTGATCACGCATTATGAACTATAAACAATCAGGTCAAATATGAATATTTGTTTGATTTTTATACTTGATTTATATGTGGATCCCACATTTCTCCCTTTATTATTATTATTATTATTTTTTAATAAAATGCTGAAGTGGTAGGTAGATGCAAGATAAAGGTAGAAAACATAGTTTAGTG